GCCGCCGTTCGACTACCGACCATGCGGCGGTCGGCCATCTTGGATCCTTTGTTCCCTCAGCGGTGTTGGGTCATCGAACACATGGTACTAAAAACGGCTACTTGACGGTGCGAACACCGCTGAGCCTCCAGGATGTTTGGGAGTTCCGGGCCGTTCGGTATTTCATTCCCTGGAAGGCAATCGGTCTTTTTAATATGTTTTTCAATAAATGTGTTTTTCGTGCGGCGTTCGGTTGTTTTAGCTGGGATCGGAGCGGTAATCTCACGAATGATGCACTCAGACCCCAGCTATCTACCAACGTCCATTCGTGCAAATAGACTGCATATTCGAAAAGTTATGTATTTTAATATAAATTGTCGGTTCTGCTGCACGGAGGGATAATCCACTTAACAGTATATTCCAGGGGGAGGATCCCTCTCGTGCAGCAGTGCCTGATGGGAGAAATGCCTTGTACTGTAGGTCCCCCATGTAGTCCCCTCTGGGAATGTCCCTGGGAAGGGACTCAGGAAACCCCTTGCATGGGGACTTGTATAAATTGTGGAGCTGAATTAAGAGACCTCAGTTGACTCTCAGAACTGTGTTTCGTCCGGTTACTGGGAGATTTGGGATATTGCCTTGTTGTTTCCAGCGCTTGACTGTGGATTACTTCCTGAACCAGCGGAATTCGTGGATTTAATATTGGCGTTCCGCTGTAATTGGTGGCAGCGACGGGATCCAACTCCACAGCCGAATACAGCACATTCGAATGAAAGGAACAACCGAACGGAAAAAGGGAATGGCAATTCGTATGCAACAAACAGACGAAAGAGATCAGTGAATGGGGACTGATTACACGGCTTTAAAGAGGCAGACGCTAAAGGAACTGCTGGAGGCTAGAGGGAAAAGTGCTAGCAATAAATCCAAGGCAGTACTAATTGCAGAGCTGATGGAGGACGACCAGGCACACAGCAGCCCACCCCCACCAGCCAGGGAGGAAACCCCATATCAGAGGGAACTGAGAACCCGGCTGGAATTTGTACCTCAGCCAGTACCCCTGGATATCTTGACCGTTCTGATGGCAGACGTACAGGACTACATTATGGCGCAACAGCACCAGGGGGCACCATCCAGGGCAGAATCCATCGCCAACTCATTCTGCGCTCTAGTGAAACAGAAAATACCCTACCAGGCATTTAATGCATTCTGTGAGAAGGATGAGATTGACGGATACCTGCAGGATTTTGAGCAGTTATGTGACCTACACGATCTGAAGCAGGCAAGTTGGCAGGACGGGCAGCAGAGGCTTATCACGCTGTTCCCAGAGAGTACAGCGAGGACTACTTAAAAGTAAAACAGGCAATTCTAGAAAGGTATGCCATCACACCGGAGGCATATCGGCGTAAATTTCGGGGATTGCGGAAGCCTGAAAAAGATTCCCACGCTGAGTGGGCACATAAGTTTGACCAAGCTTTACAAGGGTGGATTCAGGCCAGTCAAGCCACCACCATGGAGGAACTGCGCCAACTAATTCTGCTGGAGCAGTTCTTTAACAGACTTTTACCAGAGGCACAGGAATGGGTAAGGGACAGAAAACCCCTCACCCTAACGGAAGCCGCCCGGTTGGCGGATCAACACTTTGATGCCAGGAGGCATCATGGGCTCACCAACAGGGGTCCCCTGAGACCACCAGTACAGCACCACCCGACCACCTCCACACCAACCAACTCCGCTCCATTCCGGCCAGCACCAGGGAACCCCCCACCACCATCCCGCTACAATGGCAGAGCAAACATCCAATGCCATACCTGCCGTCAGTGGGGGCATATGTCCCGGGAGTGCACCCAGAATTGGAGTAGACAGGCGTGGAACCAAGTGCGGCAGAACTCCACACCAAGGGCAGCAGTTCATTACTACCACGCAGAACCCGACAACCCCGAGCTGGTGAGCCTGCAGACCGAGCAACCTCTGGGGGTTTTGTATGAAGTGATGTCGGTGCAAGCCACGGACAACAGGCAGCATCACCGTCAAGTTGTGTTTGTGGGGGGGAAAGAAGTACAGGGGCTGAGGGACTCGGGAGCCACTTTAACCCTGGTTGCTCCACATTTGTTTCCAGATACAGCCCACACTGGTGGATCGGTGGCTGTCAGGGTAGCAGGGGGAGACATGTACCGTCTACCCACTGCCAAGGTGCATTTGAACTGGGGTGGGGGTTGTGGAAGTAGCGGTAATGAAAAAGTTACCGGCAGATGTTGTGTTGGGGGAATGACTTGGGCCAGATGACTTCAGCCTTCCTACCTCAGGCTCCTTCACAAGAAGCTCATCCTGTAACTACCCGGCAACAGGCTCGCACCACGGTACCACCAGCACACTCTGAGGCTCAGGTAAGAAACCATGACCCCCCCTTGACGCATATGACCTGGGGCACCCCGACCACTTTTGAAGCCGAGGTCCAGACAGACCCCACACTGCAGGTGTACCGAGATAGGGTAGACACTGACCAGGTGGGGCGGGAGGGGGAACGGTACATTTGGGAAAACAAGTTGTTGTACCAGGTAGCTGAAAGGGCGATAGGGAGCTCTGTGACCATCCAAACTAAGCAGCTGGTAGTACCCCAGAAGTATAGACCCAAGTTACTGAGAATAGCGCATGACATCCCTCTGTCGGGCCATTTAGGGATGACCCGTACCCGGTATCGCTTAACTCACGCTTTCTTCTGGCCCGGGATTTCTAAAGATGTAAGACACTATTGTACCTCCTGTGATGTGTGTCAGCAGGTAGGTAAGAGAGGGGATCGCCACAAGGCGAAACTATGTCCCCTACCTATAATTGAGGAACCGTTCAGCCGTGTGGCCGTAGATATAGTGGGACCGCTACCAAAACCCAGCCCATCTGGGAAGCGGTATATACTGACCGTGGTGGACTACGCCACCCGGTACCCCGAGGCGATTGCTTTAACCAATATTCATGCGGAGACAGTGGCCGAAGCCCTGATGAAAAGCTTTTCCCGAGTAGGGTTCCCGCAGGAAATTGTTTCCGATAGGGGGACACAATTTACAGCCGAGGTCACCCAGCAGTTATGGAAAATATGTGGCATTAAGCCGATCATTAACTCTGCCTACCACCCCCAATCCAACGGATTGTGTGAGAGGTTCAACGGTACTCTAAAACAGATGCTCCGTACATTCGGAGAGACCCATAAGGACTGGGAACGGTTTCTTCCCCATCTGTTTGCCTACAGGGAGGTACCCCAAGAATCTACCGGCTTCTCCCCGTTCGAACTGTTGTTTGGGAGAAGGGTACGGGGACCGTTGGACCTCATTAGAGAGCATTGGGTGGGGGAGAGTAGCGCAGATGGGACCCCTATTGTACCATATGTGCTGGCGTTCCGGGATCGCCTGGAGGAATTAACTCAGGCAGTGCGCACTAACCTCCAGGCCGCCCAACAACGTCAGCGCCGTTGGTATGACAGGGGGGCCAGAGACCGTAGTTTTCAAGTGGGACAGAAGGTGTTAATCCTCAAACCTGTTCGCACAGACAAACTACAGGCCGTCTGGCAGGGCCCATACCAGGTGGTAGAGCAGAGATGCGATACCACCTATGTAATCGGCCCATGCTCCGGGGATTGGGAAGCGACGCATGCTCCATGTGAACATGCTCAAACCCTACCACGAGCAAACTGAGGACGTGGCAGCCATTTGCATGCCCGCCTTGGAGGATCAGGAGAACTTACCTCTCCCAGATCTGTTAGAGCAGGAGGAGCAGAAGGAGCCCTCCCAGGGGGTTCTGCTGTGGGAGCGGCTAAGTCCTCAAGAGCGCACCCAGGTACAAGAACTGATAGCGGCAAAGGGCGCCACCTTTTCTAACTTACCTGGGTACACTCCACTAGCCACTCACCGAGTAGAAACCCCGGGACAGCTCCCCATGCGACAAACCCCATATCGGATTCCCGAATCCGTACGGGAACATATGAGGAAAGAGATTGAGGAGATGTTGCAGTTGGGGGTTATCGAACACTCCGATAGCCCCTGGGCATCGCCGGTAGTCCTGGTTCCCAAGAAAGACGGTACCACCCGGTTTTGTGTGGACTACCGGAGGCTGAACAACTAAACCGTGTCGGATGCTTACCCGATGCCCCGGATAGACGAACTGCTAGATAGGATGGCCAGAGGTCAGTATCTCACGACAATAGATCTTTGTAAGGGATACTGGCAAATTCCACTAGCCGAGGACGCCATCCACAAGTCAGCGTTTGTCACCCCATTTGGCTTGTACCAATTTCGAGTCATGCCATTCTGGATGAAGAACGCCCCCGCGACATTCCAGCGGATGGTGGATCGGCTACTGGACGGGTTCCAGGATTATGCGTGTGCATACCTGGATGATATTGCCATCTACAGCCAGACCTGGGCTGATCATCTACAACATATAGGGGCCGTGATAGATCGGATTGGAGAGGCAGGGCTTACCTTGAAACCCAGCAAGTGCCACATAGGGATGGCGGAGGTACAATACTTAGGACACCGAGTTGGGAGCGGGCAACAGAAGCCTGAGCCCGCAAAGATTGAAGCCAGAGCCCAGTGGCCCACCCCTAGGACTAAAACCCAAGTCCTTGCCTTCTTAGGTACCGCCGGGTATTATAGGAAGTTTGTGCCCAATTGCAGTGCCCTGGCCAAGCCCCTGACTGACTTGACGAAGAAAAACCTGCCCAGGCAGGTCATCTGGGCCCCAGAGTGTGAACAGGCATTTAACCAACTGAAGACGGCTCTGACCAATGCTCCTGTACTTGCTGCTCCTGATCCAACTAAACGTTTTCTTGTCCACACAGACGCCTCAATGTTGGGATTGGGAGCAGTACTGAGCCAGGTCGGAGCAGATGGCGGAGAACATCCCGTAGCATATTTGAGCCGGAAATTGTTACCTCGAGAAGTGAGCTACGCCACCATCGAAAAAGAGTGCCTGGCCGTGGTGTGGGCCCTGAAAAAGTTACAACCATATCTCTATGGGCAACCCTTTTCTTTGCTCACAGATCACAACCCGTTGGTGTGGCTGAACCGTGTGGCTGGAGACAATGCCAGGCTGCTGCGCTGGAGTTTAGCGCTGCAGCCTTTTGACTTTACTATCCATTATCGCCCAGGGAAACAAAACGGTAACGCCGACGGGTTATCTAGACAAACAGACCTTGAGAAGTGATCTGTGAGCCCTCCTCCGGACATCCCCAAGCCGATCCGTTGGGATCAGACTGTGTATGCCGGCTTGGTTCTGGGGGAGCATTGTGGCAAACCTAGCCACTTGGACTATATCAAGAGACTGTACCTTTAAGGGTTGCCTGTATGTCGGTGGGGATATGTGTTCAACTATGTACAATGTATGCTGGCTGTAATACCTTGAATTGCCTGTGTTTGCTATCCGCCAAATGCAGATAGCTATTTGTATTGGGTTTTCCTTTCGTTTCACGAACGGCACTTTGGCGGGCCGTTCGTGAACCGAAAACACTACATATAATAGCCCACACACTTAGAGGCGTGTGGCGCTTGTTAACCGATTGCAACAATGTTCCAATCGGTAATTAGAGGCTCTCCTAGGTGGCCGCCGTTCGACTACCGACCATGCGGCGGTCGGCCATCTTGGATCCTTTGTTCCCTCAGCGGTGTTGGGTGGTCGAACACATGGTACTAAAAACGGCTACTCGACGGCGCGAACACCGCTGAGCCTCCAGGATGTTTGGGAGTTCCGGGCCGTTCGGTATTTCATTCCCTGGAAGGCAATCGGTCTTTTTAATATGTTTTTCAATAAATGTGTTTTTCATGCGGCGTTCGGTTGTTTTAGCTGGGATCGGATATCTCACGAATGATGCGCTCAGACCCCAGCTATCTACCGAACGTCCATTCGTGCAAATAGACTGCATATTCGAAAAGTTATGTATTTTAATATAAATTGTCGGTTCTGCTGCACGGAGGGATAATCCACTTAACAGTATATTCCAGGGGGAGGATCCCTCTCGTGCAGCAGTGCCTGATGGGAGAAATGCCTTGTACTGTAAGTCCCCCATGTAGTCCCCTCTGGGAATGTCCCTGGGAAGGGACTCAGGAAACCCCTTGCATGGGGACTTGTATAAATTGTGGAGCTGAATTAAAAGACCTCAGTTGACTCTCAGAACTGTGTTTCGTCCGGTTACTGGGAGATTTGGGATATTGCCTTGTTGTTTCCAGCGCTTGACTGTGGATTACTTCCTGAACCAGCGGAATTCGTGGATTTAATATTGGCGTTCCGCTACAAGCCTCCTGCCCAGAAACCGTTTCATGAGTTTAGGATGTGTGGTTGGTCTATTTCGAAAAGACAGAAAAACGAAACAATGCACGAATGGAACCCCCTGGCTCGTGGAAACCAAACTACTGAACAGCGCTCTTCTGGCTGTTCGGGAAAAGGAGGCAGGTGTTTGTATACTTTGACCAGTGTTCGGGAAGTCGAGTGTCCGGTTTTCGTTCCAGACACTCGACAACCAAGTCTCGCTGCCTCCTTTCATGCGAACAAGATAGCCGCCATTTTACCTTGCATGTGGCATTCGGGTATACAAATGGTGGACACACAGGGAGAGCGCTTTATTGACGGTTGTCTTTGAAGATAATGAGCTAAGGGGTGGACGGTGTTCGGAAGATACAGCTACCGAACCAGTAAAACATAAAAAGTCCCGAATAGCATGCTATTTTCTTCACATTGCTCCCCCTTAGTTCCATGGATCGGCATACCCGTCTAGACCCTGCCAGGTCGGCTTGGGGATTTCCAGAGAAGTCAATTAAGGGTCTAGTTCAGTTTGAAGGGAAAGTCCATCTGCATTGCCATTTTATTTGCCTGGTCGGTACTGCAAGGTGAAATTGTATGGTTGCAATGCCAGGCTCCAGCACAACAAGAGGGGGTTGTCTCCAGAGACCCGGTTCAGCTAAATTAGGGGATTATGATCAGTCATTAAGGTGAAGGAACAACCATACAGATAAGGTTGGAGTTTCTTTAACGCCTATACCAGAGCCAGGCATTCCTTCTCCACGGTGGCATAGCTGAATTCTCGGGGTAGTAGTGTACTGCTGAGATATGCCACGGGTGTTCCATCCCATCCTACTCCACTTGACACGGCTCCCAGCCCAAACATGGAGGCATCTGTATGAATGAGAAATTTTTTTCTAGTAGGGTCTGGGGCCGCCAACACAGGTGCTTCGCTCAGCGCCGTTTTAAGTTTCTGAAAGGCTGCCGCACACTCCTGGGACCAAGCTACTTGTTTGGGCAATTACTTTTTGGTTAAGTCAGTAAGGGGTTTAGCCAGGGCGCTATACTCGGGGACAAATTTTCTGTAATACCCTGCGGTGCCCCGAAAGGCTAGTACCTGGGTTTTAGTTTGCAATGGCTTGTCCTCTGGCTGGCTCAGGCAGCTGTTTCCCTGATCCTACTCTTTGACCAAGATAATAAACCTTTGTCATGCCTACATGACACTTTTCCGGTTTTAGGGTGAGACCGGCTCCCTGTATCTTCTGAAATAGCGTAGCCAAGTGCTTCAGGTGGGCCTCCCATGTGCTACTATAGATGGCAATGTCATCTAGGTAGGCACATGCAAAGTCCTGCAATCCGTCTAGGATTCGGTCAGCCATTCATTGGAACGTAGCTGAGGCATTCTCATCCCAAACGGCATAACCCAAAATTGGTATAGCCCGAATGGGGTGACGAATAGCGATTTGGGAATGGCTGCTGAGTCCAGAGGAATTTGCCAATACCCTTTGCACAGGTCTAGAGTAGTTAGAAAGTTCCCTCCAGCCATGCGATCGAGTAATTTGTTGATCCGAGGCATGGGATAAGCATCAGTTACAGGTCGGTCGTTCAGTTTCCGGTAGTCAGTACAGAAGTAAATCGTACCATCTCGCTTCGGTATAGCACTACCGGTGAAGCCCAGGGACTCTGGAGAATAATTCCCAATATTCCTGGAGCAGTTGGGTCGCCTCAGCCTGCTGTACGGGGTCTAATTTTTCCCCTAACCCGACCTGCTTGATCGTACATTGGTTAGTAGCCAGCAGATTTAGTAGGGAAAGTCCCTCACTATCCTCGGTGGATGTGGCGCATATGGCGGCCACATCCCCTGCTCATTCAAAATAGGGTTTCAACATGTTCATGTGAAAGGCTCTTTTGATCCTTTCATCAGAACATTTTCCTATGATGTAGGTGGTGTCGCTAATCCATTCTACCATCTTGAAGGGTCCTTTGCCAAGCTGCCTGCAGTTTGTACTTTTTGAAGGGTCTGAGCACTAACACCTTTTGGCCAATCTCCAGTATCCTATCTCAGGGCCCCCTATCGTACCACCGTTTCTGTTGTTGTTGAGCCGCTTGTAGGTTTTTTTAAGTCGGTCCCGTATGAGATCCAGGGGCCCCCTTATTTTTCTCCCGTAAAGGAGTTCGAAGGGGGAGAACCCGGTGGACGCCTGGGGCCCTTCCTGGTAGGCAAACAGGAGATGGGGAAGAAAACGTTCCCACTGTCCATATGACTCTGTAAACACTGTGAGCATCTGCTTGAGAGTTGGTTTGGGGATGGTAGGGAGAGGTTAACAGGGGCTTGACACCGCAGCTCTGCCATAACTGCTGGGTCACAACTGCGGTGAACTGGGTCAGACAGGATCTCCCGGGGACAAATTTTGATTAGGGCCTTGGCTACGGTTTCTGCCTCGATACTAGAGAGGGCTACAGCCTCTGGGTACCTAGTGGCATAGTCCACTACCGTGAGGATGTAGCTTTTTCCTGAGAAACTGGGTTTGCTGAGGGGCCCCTATCAAGTCCACTGCTACTCAGTGGAATGGCTCTTCTATTATGGGGATGGAGCATAATTTAGCTTTAGGATGGTAACCTCTCTTTACTACCCTCTGGCAGGTATCACAGGTCCTACAGTATGCCTGTAAATCTTTAGAGATCCCGGTCCAAAAGAACGTCTGGGTGAGCTGGTCCTTAGTCTTCTTCACACCCAGATGTCCTGTTAAAGGAATATCGTGGCTGAGTTTAAGGAGTTCTTCCCTGTACTTACGGGGTACTACTAACTGTCTTTTGAGAATCTGGGCCGCTCCACTACAGCTACCGAACCAATAAAACATAAAAAGTCCCGAATGGCATGCTATTTTCTTCACACTACCAATTCTTCAAAAGGGTCTCCTAATTATTGAAATATTGTTGAGGCTTGTTAAGCTAACCTTTTCACTGAAATAGCTCCTAGAGGTTTATGAGAATTAATAAATCACATAAACCCTGTAACGGATCCCCTATACTCCAGCTGAGTATATCCATTATAAATCTTACAAGTTCCAAGCGCAATAGTGATTATAGCTCCCAATTCCCCAAACATCAGCCTAGACTTGATGAAGGGTAGAAACAAATGTCTTTAATTATGGCCAAACAGCCTACTTATATACAAAACAAGGATGCAGTAAAACACTCCCAAAAAATGTCCACAAATTCCAGTGTCAACATGACTAGGCATAAGTGAAATACAATATTAAAACACATAAAAATACATAACAAACATATAGGAACCCCCAAAAATAGTATGTTCACAGATAGCCTGGATCTGAGTGCCCAAGTTGTCCAAATAGTGCTCAGATCCCACAAATACAGACAAATCGCACCAGGGTAAAGTTTTGACCGACCGCTCATGAGGCTTCTGCCCAAATCAGTTCCATAGTTTTAGTGGTAGCGGTCGGTCAATTTCATGAGTTTCAAACCAACCAAAAAGATGAATGATTCCCCTAGCTCATAGGTAGCATTTGTTTGTTTTGTTCCTACGAAAAAAACTACCAAACAGCGCTATCCTGGCTTGTTGCGGAAAGAAGCAGGCGTTCGTATGGTTTCCCTGGTATTCACAAAGTCGAGTGTCTGACTTAGAGTTCCAGACGCTGCCAACCAATCACACCACTTGCAAGTACTTGCTTGCTTCTGAGTGATGCAAGCAAGTCCCACACACTTATCATAAACTTTCTCAGATCTTGTCATGCGGTATCTCTTCCAGGTTTGGCACTTCCGCATTGCAGAGCCGGAGCCGGCCCCGCCCCCTTCTGACACGGCTCTGACAGTACTTAGGGAGACCGCACCAGGGAGAAGGCGCTTGGTGATTGTGGGACCTACTTCCGGGTATACACGCCGGCTCCACAAGCTCTGACAAGCCGTTCCAGCCTTTGAGCCAATGCAAGGATTGCTGCATGCCATAGAGGATTACTGGAGAACAGATACTTTGCTAATTTACAAGTGGCCTATAACTCTGAACTCTTGAAGGACAACTCACCTTAACCTTAAGTATATCTTTCAACTATTGTCTGCAATATAATTTATTAATGAACCAATTCCTGCTTGCTCAAAATCTTCTCTGCTTCAAGTTACTAATTATATGGAGGACAACTCCCATCATGCTTATTTACTTTGAACTGTTTCTTGCTTTGCAAATACGCTCTGCTACCTGCTTAATGTTTCTATTGAAGATTATTCCCAGTAACCTAAAGAATCTTATTTAATACTTCTCTGAGGAA